TTATTGCTCAAACCGGAACACTCAGAGCCAGAGGGAAGCTATTAGCAACTGCTGTGGGGCAAGAGGTGAATGGTGGACGAATGTCACCCTGCTCACAACAGACCCAGACTTCCTGGGGCTGGAGGGGTGCCCCCAACGCCCAGGGGGAGGGTGTGGAAGGGAGGAGCAAACACACACTGCTGAGCACCGATGTGCATTATCTGGATGGCTCTGCATGCCAAATGCCTTCAATTTCGGGATGCAGTTCCCATTTCACCTCCAGAAATCGATTCGAAGGAAAAATCATGCATGTGATAAAAGAGTTGGTTACTAGGAGGAGGGCTGCTTAAATAAAGTTCGGTAAATTCTTAAATGGAATAGTTTATAGCCAGTAAATGGTGTTGATTTTAAAAAATAATATGTAATAGTTTTAACAGAATATTAATTTTTAACTATTGTAAATCAGGGATGAGATATATACACACACACATACATACATCTATATGAATGACAACTAGAATGATCTATTCTAAAATAGTAACAATGGTTGTTACTAGCAGGTTCTGGGATTTTTTTGCTTACCCCTATTTTCTAAAGTTTCTACAAAAGCTATGTATTACTTTTCCAGTTGTGAGAAAATGAACCCACAGGGAGATCAGGGGCTAGTGACTGTGAATCTGGGAAGGCAGCTGAGTGGGGCCGGGGCTCTGGCTCCTCTGGTTGTTTCCACCCAGGTTCTCTCTCACCCCTTCTCCTCTGTAAAGGCTGCCAGCAAGGTTCACCCCTCCCCTCCCTGCTGGTAGCAACTGGAAGTGTAGCCTCAAAGGTAGACCTGGCATTAGGCAAAAAGCATTGGGATAGGAGAGGGGTGTGGGATGAGCTTTTTAAAGCCAGGTTCAGAGACCCTCAACAGCACAATAGGGCCACTCTGTTGAATGAGTGAATGAAATGCAGCCTCAAAAAGCCACTCTAGGGAGCTGGGTTCCCAGGCTGGCCCCCAACCCAAACACACCCATAATGCAGCTGGAATACCCATGAATGGAACCCTGCAGCTTCTGACAGCTGAATTCCAAATCAGGGGCTGGACAACTGGTTTGGAGGCTGCAGGGAAATAACTGTACTGGGTCTTGGAGGATATTAGATGTGGGTGTTAAGTGTGGGCTTTGGAGTCAGGCAGACCTGGGTTCAAATCACACTATGGGCACTTAGAAATTGTACCCTTGGCTATGTAAGGAGCTTCATTTACCTCCAGTTAAAAACAAGGGGGGGCAACATAAGAAAGTATAAAACAGTCTTAGCATCATGCTCAGCACTTAGTAAGCATTCCGATGGTTTTATAATTGCCCAGTTCCAGCCGAGGATCCTTCCAGCTCAGGTGCTGCTGTAGCATCCACACCTCTCTTGGTGGAACTGGGAAGAGAGCTGGTGCCCTGACTCCTAGTCCATCAGAGCCCTTTCCAACCCACCAACTGTGAAGGAACAGGGCTGGGTCCGCAGGCTGTGGTATCAGTGCCCAACTCCTGGACCTGGAGTGTCTGGGGGACTGAGAATAGCTCAGGCAGAAGAGACAGAGACCAAACCTGGGCCAGGCCACAAGGTGCTGGGAACAAGGCACAGGTGAGGGGGGACAGTGCACAGGGACTCAGAAGGGATTGCCCAGCTGCAGGGACACTTAGGGACAAAGGATTTGGGACTGTCCAGCTTCCATGAGAAGCATGTCCAAACCTCAAGTTCCCCAGCCTTAGGAGCAAGGCAGAAGCAGAAAAGCCAAGAGACCCCAGAGAACCTTCAGTCCCTCCTTCATTTGGTAACAACTATATATTGAGTCCTGGTCACGTGCCACTTTGGATACATTGGTGAGCAAACCAAAGATCCCAGCCCTGGATAAACTCGATTTCTAGTTTCTCCCAGGATGTAACCTTTACTCGGAGCCATTTCACAGATAAACTGGGAGCTGCAGCACTTACACCCCGTTCCCAGCAAACTCCCAGACCTGTTGCCTCTGGGTGAACTTCATCTGGGCTACCGATCTGCTGTGTGACTTTCAGGAGTCACTCGCCCTCTCTGGGCCTGTTTTCCCACGGTAACATGAGGAGTTTGACCTGCATGATCTGTAGACCCTTCCAGCTCTGAAGGTCTGGGGCCCTCAGCCTAATTCTTCACACAGGAAACACCAGTAAGGCCAGCACTGCCTTCTCGAACATCACTCTGAGAACCTTCCGAGTCTCACTTCTCAGGGTGGGGGGTGCAAATGGTGCCGAGTCTGAGTGTCTGCCCATCACACCAGCCACGCCCCCGCTGGGAGCCTTCCCCCTTCTGGAGCACCAGGGCCTGCCCTGGATGGGTGTCAGCTGGAGCCGCTGGGGGCCTCACCTGGGCATCTTCCCGGGCCTGGTCCCGATTTTCTCCTCCCTCCTCACGGTTCCCCTGCAGCAGGACCAGAGAGAAGGGTCAGCCCCGGACAGCCACCCACTTGGCCCCTCGGGAGCCGCAGGCCCTTGCTCAGCCACTCTGCCTCCCTGAAGGCTTTTCCCTCAGTTGCAGCGCGGGGACAACGAGCCCGGTGTCCCAGGGCGGCCTTCATGGGCGTTCCACGCGAACATCTGGAAGGCACCTGGCTCAGGGCCTGACTCAGACACAGTGCACTGGCAGCAGGGCCTGGCACCTGGGTTGTGAGAATTCGAGAGATGGTGATGGCAGTTCTGGGTAACAACACAGGGAAAGGTCACCCACGTGGCTTTGTCCTGCCAGCTGGGTGCCCAAAAGGCCAGGCTGAGGGCCACTGGGGATAGCTGCCCAGAGAACGTGGCACCAAACCAGCTTTGAAAAGTGTACAATGGAGAAGGCACTGACTGAGGCAGTAACTGCGTCCACAGGGGGCTGAGTTGGCAAGTGGGCAAGACACCCTCCCTGCTCCCTCCCAGGGCCCCAGGGAGCGGGGCAGGCCTGGGGCTGTGACTGCACCCACCGTAGCCAGAGAGATGAGGATCCTTTTGAAGTGGCCGGACGTGTCTGAGCTCAGAGCATCCTCCAGAGACTTGTGATAGTCTGAGACAAAGAGAGGGGTATGGGTGGCTACTGGCCAAGAGAACTGGGGGGTACCTGGAGGCCAGGACTTGAGCCAGAGTGGTGTTGGGGGTGGGGGTCGTGGAGATGAAGGAGTTTGTAGTTGGTCCGTGGCACATCCAGCCATCTGTTGGTCTTGACGCTGATGTGCCCGTCGGTCCTTCACCTCCCTCTGCTCCTGTCCTGGGTGAGGTCTCGCCTCTCCCATTAACAGCACCCCCTCTGCCTTCATTTCTCACCCCCCATCCCTCCTGCGTGACCGTTGCTGGGCCCGGAGGCAGGGCTCTGAGCGGGCCACTCCCCAGCCCACAACTTCTACCATTTTAAAGCTGCTTTCGAGAGGAAAAAGTTTCAACACTGGTGACCAGTATTCAAGGTTCTTCAGAATAATACGGGATCGCCCTTGAGAAAAATCAGTAAGAATTTCAAGACGGCGATGGCGTGGGAGAAGAGACAGAGACCCGGACAATCAGGCATGTGCCTTCTGAACACGGCCCTGGGCGGCTGCCCAGGTGACCAGCCCTGGAGCTGCCCCTCCTCCCCAGCGGCCCGGACGCCCTCTCTCCCCTCACTCCCAGACCAGTTCTCTTCCACCTCCAGGCCTTTGTCCCGTGGGCACTCCGTCTGGGGCACCCTTTCCCCAGACACAGGGCTGGGGTCACACAGGCACTTATCCAAGCCTCGTGGCCCAAGAGCCATGGGCAAGGTTAGAAGCTGGGGACCCTAGCTGTTCGACCACCGGCCCCCCAGTGGTGCTGGGCCCCGGGCCTCCTCCCCACGGACTCACCTTCCTTATACGCCTCATTGATGGCCCGGATTTCAGCATTGGTCCGAGTAGCCAGGATTTCGATGAGAGCCTTTTCATCGGTGCCAGCTCCCTGGAATGTCAAGGCAAAGACCTTCTGAACGGCAGCCCTGGCCCATGTGCAGAGGCCCACGGGCTCTAAGAAACCACCAGGAGGGGTTGCTCAGGCCACCGAGCCCCCTGGATCTTCTCCTCACGCCCAGACGTGGCCCCCAGACCACAGACCGTGGCCCAATCAGGGCTGAACACGCCAGCCTGTAAGATTTCCGGGACCTCCCACAAAAACGGCTTTGGACCAGAAGTTAGAAAGGAGAGAACACGTGGTCTATGTGTATGTGTCAGGACATAAGTATTTATACATAAGCACGTAAAGAGAACAGGGGACACGCATCACGTGTCAGCGACTGGTCTCTGGGTGGCGAGAGGCGGCGGATGGTTTCCATTTTCTTCCCTTGTGCGCTGTGTCCATCTTCTCAGTGAACACATATGACTTTGTCAGGAGAAAAAGTTTGGCGCTGGAGAAAACTGCTTTTGTTTACATTTGGCTGTGATGACCGACCCATTAGGTCTTCGGGACTGAGGCAGCCGGGGAACCCACTACCAAAGGACCCCCTTGGAGGGAGGCGGACAGGGCTGAGTGATCGGCACAGTCAGGTATCTGTGAAACACCCACCACGTGCCCCTCGTGGTTCGTGCCGCCGGGGCCACGACCGAAGGATCCGCAGTCACGTTCTCCGCCCTGGGAGGTTCCGCCCAGGGCCAGCGGGTCCCACGGCTCTCTGCCCGAAAGCAGATTGAGGCTGAGCGAGATCTTTAATAGCCTCTTCATTAACAGCTGGCATGTGGTGAGGACAGCCTGATCCTCAGAGTGTCCTGACACCCAGGGTCTAGTCCCATCCTTCTCCTGCTTCTGTTTTTAAGCCATTTACTTTTTTTGTCTAGGAATTTCGAAAGGACAATAATCTCAACTAGCTTTGTCCAGGGCATGTCTGTTCTCAGAACCCTTCAGAGGCCAAAGTCCTAGCGATTTCGAGGCAGGATATTGAAAGTTAACAAAATGTCCTTCTTAGGCAAGAGGAATGTGGGAAACGGAGACAAAATAGTTGAATGAGGCTGAGCCACGAACAGCCTGTTAATAAATCACCAGATCTCACCTTCCCTAACCAAGGACACTTAGGAGGCGGTTTGCACCTCTGCTCGCCGACCAGAGAGTGAGCAGCTCCGATCACCCTGGTCGGGCAGATGGACCACAGAGACGGTGGTGCTGCCCAAACCCCAGACGAAGTCGGGGGAGCAAATAGCCAGAAAGCCCAATTGGAACTGAGCGAATCCAAGGTAAAAGTAAAGCACCGAAACTGACTAGAGAGTGGTCCCTTCCACGCGCATCTTGACGTGTCAGCGGGTTAAAGGACCCACCTGGAAAGCTAGTGAACATCTGTCGAGGCCCTCCCCTGAGACCTCCTCTAAAACTCCCACCTTTGGAAAACAGGTAAGAACCCTCAAGACAAAGAACCCAGTGCGCTCACGCTCTCTCTCTCTCACATGCCTGCGAACTCCCTTTCCTCAAGTGGGTATTTTTGCTTTGTTTCTCCTAAACGCCAAGGGTCCCGATGAGACTTGCAGCCAGGGAATCAGCAGACCGTGGCAGCTCATCCCAGGCTAAGCCCCTGAACCTGTCTAAGTGCATAACTTTCCCGGGTAACCGCCTTTCCTGAGTCCACGCAGCCCGGTCTCTGCTCACTCCTGTTGCTGTGCTCTTGCCTCTTCTAGCCTAAGCCCCTCCTTTGTTTCACGGTCCCCAGCTTTAATAAATGTACTCTCGAAATCTACGGACTCGTGCAGTGAACCCTTTCCCAGAAGAAGCCAAGAACCCACACGTTCCAGATTAGGCTCGGGGCAGACTGGCCCTGGTCCCTTTCTGGTGACAATCTCACAGAGTTGTCAAGTCAGGTGCCAGAGCCAGGCACACCTGATCCAAATCCCACAGGCTGCTTCATAGTGCTGCGACTTTGACCAAGCCACTTAATCCCCGAGCCTCAGTTTTCTCATCTATACAATGGGGATGAAACAAAAGCCGTGCCTTGTGGGTTGATGAGACAAGTCACTGAGCTGAAACACGCAGCCCAAGCTGGGTCACTGTCTCTCTGACCAATGGAGAGGAGCTCCTGGTCCAGTGGGAGCCTTGGGAAGTGAAGCAGCCCCAGGAGCAGCTGGGTCAGGACATAACACCCTTTCTTGCTACTTGAAGGGCCAGGTCTTCAGAGTGCTCTTCATGCCTGTGACCATGCTTGACCCTCCCCCACATCTGGAGGGCCGGAATGACCGTTCCTGCAGGACTGGAGTGTAAGTGGCCCAATGGCACACGGTGGTACACGGCAGGGCTGGACTACGTAGAGACTCCCGCTGCTGCTCCGTCCGGATCCGCCCTCCTTCCTCTCGCCGTTCCATGAGAGCCCTCTGACCCCTTGGGTTACTGGGCTTGTGACCCCACCTGGATCAGACTCAGTAAAAGCCAAGACTTTGGCAGAAGTCTTAGGAGGAAGGAACTCTTTCTACTGGAGGTGCAAGCTGCTAGGACATACACAAGCCATTCTGCCACCACAGGGAGAAAGGCTGCTGAGAGTGAGGGGCCGTGGAAGAGAGGTGAGCCCGGGTAGGGGAGAGGTGAGTGTCCATATACCATTGTTTTCGACCCTGGAATCAGCCGTGTCTAAAACCAGACTGAGTCCTGTACTTTTCAGTTATAGGAGCAGACATTCCCTTCTGTGTTTTAAGCCAGTCTGAATGGGGTGTAGGAGGGGCTCCACCAGGGGAGTCACAACCAACCCATCTAGGCACTGAGGAGCACCTGCAGACTGGACCCCATGCGTTTGGTGCCCACACTGTACCTCCATGGCCTTCTTTAACTGCTTGGCGTCGTAATGGTCTGGGGGCATCATGAGCCCCAGAATCAGCCTTGCCAGGTCTCCAGAGAGCTCAGACTTTAGGTCAGCCATCAAGTCCTGCAAAGGGCAGAGCCAAAGTCACACCAACATCAACACTTGCCCACGTGATCCAGGTCAGGGAGGATGTATGGACTGAGGAAATAGGGGCTCCATGTGGATGCAAGGAATTGTCAGAGCCTCTGTCTGCCTTTGCTGCTGTTGGGTTTACCAAACAGCCAAAGAGGAAGCCAAAGAGGGTGGGAAAGAGGAAGACCCGCTCTCCTCACAGGTAGCAGACAAAGAAGGAAAGAGCTGTGCCATTTCAACCTTGGGGGAAACTTGCCAGCCAAAATTAGGTACCTCAAAGGCACAATGGTGACAGATACTCAGCCTCGGGAACTTGAAGCCTCTCTGTGCAGGGGAACTGGGGGACACCCAAAGCACTGAGTGAAAACAACCCATGTCCTGGATCTTGCCCCGAGCCAAGTTATTCCTGCAAGGGCTGCTGATCACAGAGAACTGGGGGAGTGGGGAGAACGTGTCTGCAGGCAGCCCACACCTAACGGTGAGATGCTCTCGGAGCACGTGACTACATGGGGTCCCATGCCCACGGAGACCCCGCTGCCCCGCTGTGCAGAGCTGGCTGTGACAGGCCAAGCTCCCTTAGGGGAGTGTGGATGCAGGGCCCGGTGGCCAGGCTGGGTCGCTTACCCGGCCGAAGTGAGACTTGAAGGTCTGCCGAATCTGCTGCCGCTGGGCGTTGCTACGGTGTGTGACAATGTCGATGATAGTCTCCTCATCAGTTCCTGTCACAAAAGCCACATGGCTCAGAGGCAGGCCTGTGGCTCAACTTTCCCCCATGCTCCCCGAGATGGGCCCTGTGGATCTTTGTCAGAGGAGAAGCCTGGCTAAGCAGCCCTGTGCTCCCAGGCTCCGCAGGGAGCCCTGCCTCCGGCCCCAGCCACCGATGTCCCCTGGACTCCGCCCAGCACTGCCTTCTGTCCTGCCGCTACAGCAGCGAGCACTGGGTTGAGAGTCAGGGCCTGTGAGTTCACATCCTGGCTCTGGCGATGGTGGAGGACATCCCGCCCCTTCCTGGGACTCAATTTCCACACCTGTACATGACTGAAGTCCAGTTGGGAACCCTATGTCCTTTCTTTTCAGTTCCCTGAAAGGTGGACCCCGAGTCCCTCTGACTGTAGCAAGTTGACTCTGAAAGGCATCAGGGTACCCCTTCCCGCCTCTCGGAGTATTGCCATCGACCTCAGAGCTGGCACAGGACTCTACCTTTCAAAAGCATTTTTATGCCTGTCATCCTAGAGTCTGAGATATGCTCAGCAAAAGCTATGATTCCCAAGAGACATATGAAAATGAGTCCCAGAGCGGAGAGGACTTAACCCAAGGTCCCAGGGAGGTGCTGTTGGACAGAAGGGGCCATGGAAGCCCAGCCCTAGATGCTCTGTCCCCAACTACCTTTCCATCCCCCACAGCACAGTTCTCCCCCTAGATTAATGGAGGCCTGGATTAATGGAGGTGGCCACCAGGGGGCGCTTCTATCTGAGAATTGGGACATGGGAAAACAAGGGTCCACTTCCCTTTTTTAACTAACATGACAAAATTGAGACTCAAGGACTGAAGGATTTGCCCAAAGTCACACAGTAAGTCAGTGGCAAAGCCAGGGCAAGAACCCAGGCTTTTTGACTCAATACTTTCATCTGCACTAGGATATTTCTCCTGAGGGGGCTACGACAACTTGGTCTCTGGGAAGGGACTGCGCCCAGTTCCTCACAAACCCCCCCACCCCCCGCACTCAGGGAGCCAGGAGCCTCCCCAGGAGGGTGGAGACCCAGGGGCCCTAGTGTGAGCCCTCCGCCCACCCCACTGTGAAACCCCGGAGGCCACCCCGCCTCTTCCACGTCTCCCTTACCCAGTCCCTTCATGGCTTTCCTTAGCGCTTTGGCATCTGCGTCGGGGTCGAAGTTGTTGGCTGCACGCACAGTTCCATTCAGCTGCAAGAAGCAGAAATAGACTCAGCAGGTGTCTGGAGGCCCCCAGGGGGGCCGGGCCAGGAGAGAAGCATGCGAGGGAGAGGGGACTGTCCCCGGGAGCCCCAAACCAAGCAGCTTGGGGGGAAAGAGGCAGAGGTGAAGGCATAGCAGACAGACCCTTGCCCTACAGCTGAGAGAGGGAAAGAGACAGACCTAGGGCCAGTGCTGGGCAAGGGAAAGGCGGCCAAGCTCCTGCCCCAGGGCCAGTTCTGTCCTAGCTTCACTGGGGCCTCCCCAGTCCCTCAGAATCTCGTCCTGTCCCCGAGGCCCTCCTGCCTTTTAAAGAGCCACTCCCCCTGAGAAGGCAACAGTACTGCTCTGAAATACCAGAACAGAGTTTCCCAAGTTTTAGTCTCTCCCGAACGGTCTGCACTGTTTTCCATATTTGTAAACAGCCTATGCTGCTTCTTAAGATCGTTACTTAATTCAATCTTTTTCCTGTTTTACTTAAATGCACTCATTTTGAAATATATTTTTAAAGGTTTATTTTTATTCTCATTTGAGAGAGAGGGTGAGAAACACTGATGTGAGAAAAGAAACACAGACCGGCTGCCTCCTCGAGTCCACAACCCGGGATGTGCCCCGATCGGGAATGGAACCAGTGACCTTCAAGTTACGGGACACTGCTCCACCCAACTGAGCCATGCTGGCCAGGGTAGCTTTGAAATACATTTAAATACTCCTCAGGGGCAAGACTTTTTCTCCATTTTGTTCTCTGACATATGCTTTAACCGTGCCTCTCAAAATATGCTTGTTAAATTAATGAATGAATGAAGTAATTTTATAACAGTATCATGAAAAGGACCATTGGTATCATGTTCCACAAATAGACAAGAATAACCTGTAAAAGTATATATAGTACAAAAAAGCCCCACGTTGTCAAATACATATCACATTTAAACAAGATGCTGGTCTTGACTAAAGCAAAAACTCCAAACTTGAGACCGGCCATCTCGGCTCTCCGTGGAAAAGGAAAATCGGTGCCTCACCGGGACCCTCCCTCCAACGTGGTCAGAAAGACCGAGGAGACTGAGAAGGGGCGGCTTGGTCACCACGTGAGGCTCAGGGTTACTCGGCGCCACGGAGGCCCCACCCCGAACTAAATTCATTTCTCACACAAGGTCACACGTCATGATGGCTCTTGCCTTACAATTTGGGAAACACTGTCCTGGGACATCAGACGTCAAAAGCCCTTCATAGGCACCGAGACCACCACGTCTTAACACCTCATTTTAAAGGTGGAGGCGAGAGGGAGGCTCAGGACCTGCCTAGTATCCAAGGTTCCAAGTATTTTTGGTGGACCAAGCGCTTCCAATCCCCGAAATGGTTTCTCCAAGCACTTCTGTGAAAACGCTCACTCTGTTCTTTGTGGGGTCTGGGTCTGAGGGCGGCCAGGACAACCCTGAGTCCTGCAGTGCACTCCTGGGTGCCCATCTGCTCTCAGCTTTCGGGCCTCCCCAGCCCGAGGGTTGGACCCAGGATGGGAGAGGCACCTCCGCAGAACCAGCCAGGTTAGTAGTGAACGGGCCAGAACACTTCCCAGCGTGTTAGAAGTCAATGCAGGAAGTAGAAGCCCACGCCAGAGAGCCCACCCCCAATTCATCACTCCAAGGAGAAAAGGAAGCTTCAGCTGTGAAAACCAAAGATTCGGGCTGGCCACCAGGGGGCAGCTGGGTGCTAAGGAGAACAGCAGGAAGGTGCAGCTGCGAGCAGAAGAGTGGAAGCTTGTGGTCAAGAGGTCAAGCAGGAGGTGGGGAGGGTCTGACCTCTATTCGGGCCACTGCACTAAGCTCCCACATCTGATAGGCCACCTGCGCTGCCTCCGGGAAGAACTGGCCAGCAGCACTGGAATGGAGGGGGTTGGGGAGAGGACAGGAGGGAACGTCACCCGTAGGCAACACTCTGCATGTGCGACACATGGCACACACATACACACGGGCACACACGCAAACACACACACACTTTAAGTAAATCCATCTACCTTCTCTCCAGCCTATGCCTCATCCGTTCACCGGACCCCTCACTCCATTTCGGAGGACCTGCTACCCTCTCGAGAGCCCCTGCAATGCTGAATCTGCCCAACAGCCTTCCTGGCCCTGGGTCCCAAGCAGGACAGCATTTCTTCAACACTTCAACCTCCCCTTTCTTCCTTGTAATGTCAGTGATTCCTGCTCAAGTCTCTCAGACAAGTCCGTGACCGGCTTGTAGCCACATCATCTCTGTGTTCCTCTGCAGAGCAGCTGGGCACACCAAGTGTCAGCCGAACCGAGCCAGCTGTGGCACTTGCCAAAGCGTAACAGGTCTTATGGCCCTCGCTTACCTGGATCCTCAGGAGGGAAATCTCAGTACCTACGGTTCCCCTCCCAGCACACCAGTCTGCTCAAGTCCTGCTCCCACTGCCCCGAGGAGAGGTTCAGAAGCCAGGAGGAGGCCCCCAGCCCCGCGCCCCTCCTGGTCCCCTCTTTGTTCCCGGCACTCTACAAAAGCACGACCTCAGTTACACAAACGAACCAGGCTGTGCCCTCTTATGCCCGGGCCTCTCCTCCATCCCAGGCACTCCCCCGGGCCCTATCTCCACTGCCATCCTCGTGGGCCTCCTCCTGGGGTCTCAACCTCATGTCTCCGGGAGCCTCATCATCTCCAGGAGTCTGGGTGATGCACCTGCAAGTGCCGTCAGAGGCTCATGTCCCTTCTGCATCACAGGACTGCCTCGTATCTACGCCCTGGTCTGTGTGCCTTCCTGGGTCACCAGGTGCTTCCCACAGAGGTACTTAATACAGACATGCTGAATAATGAGTACCGAGAGCAGGCGCCTGTGCTTTTGCCATTGAATGGATAATGAAACTGAGAAGCAGCTATGAAGTAGCAGGTCCTGGCCCACACCCCTAGACTGACTTTCTAAGTTCACAGGAGCAGACATCTCCAAGTGCGAGAGGTCACGCTCAAGTCCCCACACGCAGACACTCAGACATTCACCTGTGTGGGGCTCCTGGCTGGGAGGAACCCCCAAGCTCACCCCATCCATCCCTTAGGGTGAAGCCAGGACGGGCCTGGCCTGCCACCTCCAGAGGCCACTCCCCCCGGGCCCAAGAGCCACTTACTCGTCATCTCCCCCACACAGCTTCAGTAGAGCCTTCTTGTATTCCCCAGACGTGTCATTCTGGGGAGAAGGGGAGAGAGAAAGGTTACCTTCCCCGCAACCCTGGGCTCCTCACAGACACAGAGGGAAGGTTCCGTGGACTAAACCTTTCTTCAGAGCAGCCCTCGCTCTCTTCCTCTCCAGAGGCGACTGAGACCGCCAAAGAGGGGCGTGCTGGGAAGCATTTAACAACTGGGGCTCTGGGGCCAAAAAGCCCTGATCGGTAGCATTTGCCAATTTCTGTGGTATAAATACTTCCGACAGACAGTTCCAAGCTACCAGTAAGATTTCACGGGCTGTGAAATGAGGAAGAGATGAACGCCCCTTGCTCTGCTCGCTGAGCCGGAGTGAGCTGACTGGCCGGCCGCCAGGGAACCCCCGGCCCGCGTGGACACAAGGTTCCAGGAGCAGAAGCACTGGGAAGGGTGAAAAAGAAGCACTCTGATAGACGTGGCCTGTTCTGTATCCCTCTTGGAACCTCATAATGGGTTTCACGTATTAAAAGCTGTGGGAAGTTCTAGAGATAAAGAAATGGGCTTATCTTTGCTGCTTCTAGTTTTTCCCAAACACTGTCCCGTGGCACCTATAAAATTCCTCTTTAGAGACACATTCTAGAGAACAGCTGGCACTCACAAAACTTTCTCCCACTCACCCCCAAAAGGGACGAAAAAACCAACTCTACATCAGTCTCTCGATCAAGTCTCGAGCTGGACACGCCAGAGTCACCAATGGGCCAGGGCCAAGGAGTCCCAAAGGAACTCTGGTCTGTGTCCTTCAGTGTCGCCCCTTCCTCCAGGAGACTGAACTGTCACCGCCCTGGGGCTGGAGCCCTCAGCCTGGGTGCAGCCTGCGGGCCCTTCAGCACCCAGCCCGGCTTCCTCCACAGAGGTGCCTCACCCACCTCACCTCACCCCACCCAGGCACCGCCAGACACTTGCTTCTCTGCCGAACGGCCTTCAATTCCCTGAATGCGCCCCAAGGCAGGGGCTACCTAGGCCAGCTGGTCCCCAGCCGGGGTTTCAGCAGAACGCCCTCGGGCCCTCCGTGCCCCTGCCCGCTCTGCTCACCTTGATCATGCTGTACAGGGACTTCTCATACTTGGTGCGGAAGATCTCCCGGATGTCAAGCATGTCCAGCTCGCTACGGGAGACCATGATGCGGATCAGGGTGTTGTCCCGAGTCCCCAGGCCCTGGAAGACAGGTGGGTGTGGGGGGACGGGGAGTTGAGAGGAGGAGGCTGGGGTGCCGAGGGCCCCCGACCTAGTTGAAAATATAACTTTCCTAGTAAAATGTTATAGTCAAGGACAAAGGCAGCAGAACACAGCCGTTCCCTCCCTGTGTGTCCCCCCCGTGTATACCTGCGAGCTCCGCCTTACGCCATTCCCATCCTTGCTTTCCCTTATCTCACCTAGCTTTGGAACTCTAAGCCAGCCATTGTTTTGGCTTGCACATTTTTTAATTTTTGATTTTAGACAGAGGAAAGGAGGAGGGGGGAGAGACAGAGAAGGACAGAAACATCGATTTGCTGTTCCACCTAGCCACGTATTCATTGGCTGGTTCCCATATGTGCCTTGCCCAGGAAATGAACTCTCAACCTTGGGGCCTGGGCGCAATGCTCCAACCCACTGAGCTACCCAGCCAGGGCTAGCTGTGCACGGTTTGGATCTTTAAAAAAAAAACTGATTCGAGAGGGAAAGGGTGGGGAGGGGAGAGAGAGAAAGAGAGGTTTACTATTCCACTTACTTATGCATTCATTATTGCTTCTTGTAGGTGCCCTGACCAGAGATTGAACCTAAAACTTTGGTGTTTCAGGACAACGTTCTAACCAGCTGAGCTACCTGGCCAGGGCCCGTTTTGGACTTCGTCACTATGCCACTGTGTATTTGTCTTCCCTGCTACTCCTGATGGACACCAACTTGTTTCTAGTCTTCCAGACACGGACAATGCTGACTGCTGACGGGTGGCCCTCCTGCTTTTACCTCCACCTGTGGCCCCTGGCGACAAACGCCTGTTGCTCACTTACCCTGTGTGCTATGGGAATGTCATCGGTTTCTGTGAGTCCCGTGTGTGAAGTTTGGGAAGTGGCGTTGTCGGTGCGCCCAGAGTGAAACCACTGGGTCACGAGTGAGCACCATGACCCCCAGCAGACAATGCCAAAGAGCTTTTCCCTTACCTACGTCCTCCCCATATCAATGTTCCGATTAATTAATATTTGCATAAAGTGTGACTTCCAACCCTCAGGCGGCACGGACGGGGCGCTGGCTGTCACAGGGCAGGTGTTCGGTGGGAGGTGTGTGACCACGCGGCGTCCCAGGCTCTGGAGCTCACGGGGACAAAGGGCCCTCACCCTGACCCATGGCCGGTCCTTGAAGGATCCCTTTGGCCAGTGGCCCATAAGGACATGCCCAAGAGTCCCAACAGCCCTGGCGGGCAGGCAGAGACCCCCTTGCCCAATCTCATTCACACCAAACCCATCACGCACCTTCATGGCCTTGAAGAGCCTTTCCGCGAAATACTCTGGGGTGCTCCGGATACACTTCACTGAGGAGAAGAAGAGCTGGTTACCTGGCTGCCTCAGAAGGAGGATGGGGTGACCCGACCCCTCCTTCTCCGTGTTTCTGCCTTCGGGGGCCACAAGTTCAAACCCAGGAAGAACTCTGGCTCCTGACAGCCTGCCGCCTTTTATCCCAAACACAGGGGATAAGGAAATCTGGAAACGGGCCTGTTATCTGGGCCCTTTTTAAAGATCAAACCCTCAGCACGGGGCCTGGCACACGACACAGTGCCCGCGCCACAGAACCTGCCCTCCCGGTCACTATTTCCTGACCTCGCCCCCCACCCCACACGCCGGAGGAGGGGGCAGGGGAAACTCAGTGCCGAGGCGCAGCTCCCCGCTTCCCCCACCTCGGCCCTGCTGCGCTGGCCGCACCTCTCGAGTTCACTGCTCACCGGCTTCTAGCTTTTCCTTCTCCACACCACAGAATCCCCCTTTTCCGTTCTGGCCCCTCGTTCCTGGGCCAGGACCCCAGAGCCCTCGGAGCCCAGAACGCAGCGGCAGGACGTACCCACGGCCAGCATCAGCTTCTCGAAGTCCCCGGACAGCTCCCCCCTGATGCTCGCTTCGATGGGCTTCCCCGTGGTCTTCAGATACTCATCGAACACTGGGTGAGACAGAGTCGGGGACATTGGGGACGCCCCCGCGCCACCGAGGACAACCAGGGACATCAGAGGGGGGGGACGCAGCGCCCCGAATGGGAGTGCCAGCAGGAAGGGAGGGCTGGTACTTTGGGAGGGGGCTGGGAGGTCACGTATGTCACCAGCCACTGCGCCATCACGCTGCGTGTGCTGTGACGGGCTGTGCACACCTCATGCTCCAGTAGGAAGAAAGACTGGTGTTTAGATGATGGAACCCAGCACACTGTTAATGACTTTGGTGAAGGGCCACACAAACCACGGTCTAATAAAATCAGGACTAGTTTTGGGTTGCTGCAGAGATAGCTGTCGTGCTCCACTAGTAGAAAAGGAAAAGAGAATGGACTTCTTGGCACAACCCAAGGGGCAGCTGTAGTGTTTTCTGGTGCTTACCCAAACGAAGATGCTGCTTGCTGCGATTTCCCAAAATGTAAATGAACTGGGCTTCATCTGTTCCCCATTTCAGTTCCCCAGCCTCGTACAGGTCCTGAAGGGGAAGAGTGGGTGCTAACTGAAAGAGGAAACCTCAGGGGATAGGAATCTCTGGCCAAGCCCCTCAGAATTGATGTTAAATCCCTGAGCATGCCATGCCAGTAACTGGTGGCCTCAGGACCTTTGCACATACCTTCTGCCCTGTCTTCCTGGAAAAACTACTCAACCTTCAAGTCCTATTTGTTCTCAAACACTTCCAGATGCCCCCTGACAAAGCTGTGTCCCTCCCTCCCTCTCTCTTCTAGCCTCCTGTAGCTGTTTGTTTACAGCTCTGATCCACTGTACAATACAATGATTTCTTTCTATGCCCATCTCTCCACTCTGACGTGGACTTCTCCAGGACAGGGACTATGTCTGAGCATTCTCAACGTCTGCCCCCGCAGCGTAACTGGAACACAGTGGGGCTCCAAACAGCCGGACGGTATGCTGTGTCCAGGGAGAAGGTGTTTCTGTGATTAACACAAGCCTGTCTCTCCTAGTGCTGTCTGATTTTGTTCATTAGTGATTCTCCAATGCTTGGCAGAGTGCCTGGCAGAGAGTAGGTATTCAACAAATACTAACAAACTGAATAAGTGAAAAACTGATGAAAGCTCCAAAATACACCTTACCAACTTTACGTAAGTTGTATACCTTGGAAAGACAACATAAACCTTTTCTCTAGTAAAGCACCACATAGATGATGGCTGTGAGTCAGTTATTTCTGGCGTTCAATGCAAATTACTTCCCCTCCAGCCCTTGTCTGGCCCCAACCCCCGTCAGGGCCCCCTGGCTGTGCCTTGGGGTCTCCCTGAGGCTTGTTTACCTGCACGTCCTGTTGTACCAAGTCCTCACTCACTACATCGTCCTCTTCCCGGGTGCCCTGGGCAGAGAGACAAGGGACACATGGTTCCAATACCAGAGCCAGGGGAAGGCCTGGGGCCAGGTGGGGAGACAGGGAACACTGGGAAATCCGTGGTGGCCCACGAGGATCCGGGAGCAGTGACTTACAGCAGTCACTGCATTAAGACCGCAACATCTATTTAGTCTGGAATTGCAGGCCCTTCCACCAGAGGGACTTCCTGCTTCCTTGGAGCTGGGACCAAATGGTAGAGTCCTTCCAGGTCCCCCCATCCCAGAGGCAGCCACAGCCTTGCACCGAGAACAGCTCTGAGGACAAGGCCCCTACCACTACTTCTGGCACGGCCCACGATGCCCCCAACAATGTCACAAAGGTCTGCCCCTGTGTTTTCTAGTAGCGGCTCCCATACCTTAACCCCAAGAGTTCATCAGTCAGGATCTGAGACCTGGGCCCTCCCATCTGACTGAGCCCAGGAGCTGAGAAGGCACCAAACCCCACTGGTATTTGTTGCTCCCCCCAGGCCCTTTCCCCAGGTGACAGAGGAGGACACTTGCAAGGGACAGGGGGCCAGTCCTACTGGGCTCAGTGGTTATGTGGGCCAAGGTCAAGCCTATATTTGCTTCCTTTTTCCCCGAGGATTGTGCATTTCGGAATCTCAAACCCTGGTTCTCTTTGGGATGGAGCCAAAGCAGACAGAGCCGCAGGCTTACAATTGGTGCCAAGTCACTGGCCCGCTGGCATCAGACATTGCCAAAGCAACACCCTGGACTCTAAGGTACAGGCTGGAGCTCTCCTTTCCAGAACATGCCCTTTGAAAATGGGGGCAAAGTCATGACTTCCCATCCCCGAAGTTTCTGGTAATGCCCCAGCTGTTCAATATAGGCAGTGGATCATCATGGTAATGGCAGGAAGAGAACTGGAATAAAGCGGGGAGGGGGAAGAAGTGGCGGAAACAAAGAGGTGGCTTGATTTGTGCTCATGTATAAAGCTTCGCCCTCGGAGCTGGCTTGAGACTTCTCAATGCCTGTGCCCACAGGGCCGGCGGTCCCAGAGACGGCCACGAGACTCCACAGGCACACGTGAAGTGGCGGGCGCAACCTGCTCTCTGGCGCACCCAGCCATGCAAAGGCAGGCCTGCTGTCGCTGGACTTGCAATTATTCAAAAAGAATCCAGGAATTTGGTTTTCTAACAAAATCTCCCTGTTCGCAACTAACTAAAACTATTTTATTTTTTTAATCTATCACATGGGAAAACAAAGGGAAAAATCCCAACTCGGCAGGCTGAGTTCAGCTGAGGACCCCGGCTTGCAGCCTCTCTGTGGCCTATCTCATGCGCTGCTTTGGGGGGAGGGAGGAGCGGCAGTGCAGGCCGCCCCGGGAATGCCACAGCCCTGGATGGAGAGGACAGGGGTGCGTGGGGAGAGGCTACTCCTGGGCACAAGGGGGACGGCTGTGTGCAAAGGGGAATGTGGGGTCACCTGTCTATGTAAACCGGGGTAACAGAGCAGACACCTGGACACTCAAATTCTACACCAGGTGAGCCAGAGGGAAACCACCTCAAGTTCAAGGATAAAATGGGCAGAGCGGGAGGGATGGCCACAGTCTATGAGGACTTACACCCAAGGAGCCACCAAGAAGCCCCTCACAGGCCACTGCGCCTGTGGGGTAGGGAGATGCCCACAGCACTCTGCCTGCACTCGGTGGAGAGCTCTGGGGAGGCCCCAGGTGGACTAACCTGGAGCAGGACCACGAGCATCTTCTGGAAGTGGCCAGATGTGTCACCAATGACGTCAGCCTCCAGGTCTCGCTCGTAGGCTGCAAGGTCGGAACACAAGCTCTAGTCCCGTGCCCAGGAGACCCCGGGGATCCAGGAGAAAGGCCCTGCTGCCCCCAAAGGGTCAGATATTGGTTACAAACCCCATCTCCAGGACTGCCACGGCACCACCAGGGTGCGTTTTCAGAGTCCCTGCACTGATCCACAATGGGATATGATGGAATCTGTCCGTTTCTGTTCCCGCCGGTGCCGCCCTCCTCTGGGCACCACCATCGCTCACTGGATGGCAGCTACAGCCTCCCGACTGTCCTCTCTGCGCCTGCTCTCACTCTCTCTCCAATCCACAGCTACGGGGGTGACCCCCTTAAAGCCTACATCTGATTGCGGACTCCCCTGCATCCCACTGGACTTAGAATGAAACACACTCTCTTTCTCTTGGCCGACAGGGCCTGCATCCAGCCCTCCATGGCTCCAGCCTCCGCCTGGCTAGCAGGCTCATTTCTGCCCCTGGGCCTTTGGACTTGCCGGTTACTCTGCTTGCCAGGATCTCCTCCCCACCCTCTATAGTCCTGGCTCCTTCACATTTCCTCCCGAGACAGGCTTTCCCTGACCACCCACCTGAAGCAGGTCCTCTCTGGTCAAAGTTGATTATTATCTCGTGTGTCTCCTTCATGACAACCACATGTCGTCATTGTATTTACCTGTGTGCTGTCAGTACCCCACATTCTCTCACTAGTCTACAAGCCCTAGGAGCAGGGACTGCTTGGGTTTGGCCCATCACCACAGCCTGAGAACCCAGCACACTGCCCAGCACAGCACAGCACAGGCACTGGGTTGGCCAACACGTCCATTACTTTTTTTTATAAAATGAAAGACACGTGCTTCATTTTCACCAATAACTCGTTGACGTGGATATTCTGAGTATGTCGGCTACCCCCCACTACTGGATCGTAGTGGGCAGAGGCCAGGGTGCTGCTGAACCTCTGCCCGTGCAGAGAGCAGCCCCACCACAGAGAGTTATTGGGCCGAATGTCAGGAGCACCAGGAAACTACTCTGACACGTTCGATCAGTCACAGCGCCTTCTCCACACACGGCATATCTTTTTGGAATTTTAGCTGCGTTTTCACCCTTCTTGAAATACTGAAGCATAATACACCAAATGTTGCATATTTTCTTCCATCTTCAATACTAAAGCAGCTGCACAAAAATTCACCAATTAAGCTTTTTTAATGCACGCTGACATGACCGCCGTCACAATACAATCTAACAAAACTGTTTTGAATGACGTTAAAGACAAGCACTACTAGGGCCACCGCACAGAAAAAACATAATGGACCTTTTGGCCAACCCAACGGTTATTGGACGGACAGGTAAACAGATGAAAGGGAAGGAGGAAAGAAGGTGGCCGAACAGGTTCTTAGGTCTCCATCGTGGCGATCACCCCCATTTCCTATCTAAACGTCCCCCGAGGCCTCTCCCACCCATCTCACCATCTTTGTACGCTGCCACCAGTTGGTGGATCTGCTCATTGGTCCGGGACGCCAGGATCTCAATGAGGCACTTCTCGTCGGTGCCAATGCCCTGGGAGAAGAGAAGCAACACATGAGTCGGGTAAGGGCTGGGATGGGAGGCGACTGGCCGCAGGCTGGAGTCCTGGAATGGCCAGAGGGATGAAACCCCCAGCATTGAGGGTACTCCCACGGCAGCGCAAAAGCACCGTTTGGGAATGCTGCCCTGAGAATCAAGACATCCCACCTAGTCCCACCTCTACCCGTAGCTTGCTTTGTGGCCTCTCATTAAGAAACTGTCTTTCTGGGTCTCAGTTTTCTCATCTGTAAAATGGAGATGCTACAAGTTGTTCTACAGCCTCACGGGGAGATGGAGAAGGCAACAATCTCTCACACTGCTAAGTTGATTAGTTTACGAAATGAATTCATGTCTAATAGCTCATCTGAGGCAACGATCATAGGACTTTGTCAATTCTAAAGTGTAGGTACACCAAAGGGCTTTTGCTCTCTCCCTGCTTCCCTGGGGGACCCACCTTAGGCAGACTGCGCTGCTCTGCACACCCGAGCAACCTCCACAGCTCTCCTGCCACGTTCTCTCTGGCCAGAATGACTTTCCCACTCTGATCAACCAAATCCTCTCCAGCCTTTCCGTCCCAGCTTGACCCCCTCATCTTAAGCCACCCTGCGCCCAGGGCCTGCCCTCCTAACCACCTTGAGTACACAGCTGGCCTCTGGATGTTGGAAATAATGTTTCCATGTCCGTACACGCTGCTCCCTCAGGACTGGAAGCTGCTGGTGCGGTGGTCTGGGCGAAGAGCCCCCCTTTATGGGGTCTGCCTCACACTGACAGCTGTCCCACAACTGGCCCCCTGAAGGGGGCTGTGGTACCCTCTGGGATAGAGTCTGGGCAAGCCACCTCTGGAAGCCGGGCCCATCCACAAGTAGACGCAGGGCGCACTGCATATGTGCTGGAGAGGCCAGAACCTCCCCTTAACCACGCCCACACCCTCAGCACACACAGCCTCCTGCTTCTTACAGAGAGCGCGTCTTTAATTTCTTTGGCATCACTGTAGGCAAGCGGCCTCATCAGACCCACAATCAGCCGCTCAAACTTCCCGGTCAGCTCATACTTCAAGTCCGCAATGAGGTCCTGACGGGGCCGGGGGAGAAAAGAGAGGTTATGATAAGAATTACATTTAATGAGCACATACTCCGTACAGGCTCTGGGCTAAGTAATCTCACTGAATTGTCACTCTCGGAGGTGTGTGCCATCATCGACCCAAAGAGGAGGCAGGCTGAGAGATCGCTGGGAACCTGCCCGGAGTCACGGAGCTAGCAGGCGGCAGGGCAGAGTTCGAGCCCACAGCGCCCTGCCTCTTTCCTACTGTTGCTTCTTTACTTGTCTAGTGTGTCTCCCACTATGTGGACATCCAAGGGGCTGACACCTCCCTCCTCCCAGGTCTGGTTCACCCACGGAGCCCCAACACTCGGCACAGTGCCCGGCACACGGCAGGTGTTCTAGGCAGCTCATGGCTGAACAGTCCCTGACTGAAGAGAAG